CAGCCATCGATTACACCTAACAGTTTAAATTAAAATCGCCTGTTGCGTGTAGACAGAGAAGATGGTCGTTATCTCGTAGACGGTTGCTCGCGCATCACAGCGAGCATAAGATTGTGATAAACACAGAACAATCCATTAGCACCTCATTGCCTCTCTATCGAAATGGGTTGGGGTTTTTTTATTCGATGAAAGCGTAACATTCTCGCACTTCATGCGTTATCTCCCTCTGTTAATAGCTGCCTTCCCTTGTAGCCGTTTGTTTTTCTGGGCTTTTTATTATAAAATAAACAGTGGATCTCAAACAAAAAGTTTTAAAGGGAACAAAATGGTAGATTTAAAAAATAGTTTAGTTAATTTTTTTAAAACCAGAAAAGAAATATTTGTGGGTAATAATAGAATATCTATAAAAATGTAATTAACGAAAAGAAAGAGAGATAAGGGGAGATAACTAATTACTTTATAGATTGTCGTTTTAATTTGCTCTTAGAGCGGGCGGTAGATAATTACTTAAGATAATTGAGATGGAGAGATGGCTGGACCGGTGAAGGGGGGGGGTGGATGAACAGATTCTGTGTTGGGTTTTAAGAAACAGACGGAGAGGACGGGGTGGGGAAGGACAGACAGGTACATGGAGGAATGCAATGAGTTGTTTGAATTACCTGCTGGATAATTAGCAATTGAAACATGAACTGTCTGATCTATCAATCATTATAACGATTAGTTCAATACAAACAGACTGTGTTTACTTAGGTTTAAATTACGTCTCTTTCAATTGACATTCATAAATTGTTCTTGTCATTGTGACAGGTAACGTATCAACGAGAAGTAACACAATACAGTTTAGAAAATGTGCGTTACAGGGAGGTAAATTATCAAAAATGTCTAACCACTTTTCAATGGAATGTTAAGCAACTAGAAAACTACAGTTTTTACGCCGATGAATAAGCGATTGCACAAATTTTAATGGGGTCATTACATTTTCAGGTATTTGGATAGCAAACATCCCATAATCTATCAGTTCGTATACTGCGTCATTGCAAAATCATATCAATGTTTCTCATGTTTCGAATTCTATTTTCTATTTCATCACATATCCTGACTTTGTACATATTAGTGTGTTTCTTCTACATGTAATTATTTAATTTTTTTACTTAAAATATGCATTTTAAATTAGTAACGGATGGCCTATGTTAACACACCAGCGAGCCACCTATTGTCAACGTTGAAAATACATACAATTAGTATTGTGCCAGCTTTCTATTGAGTTGTTATCTGCGAGCTGCCTAAGCTGACATGTTTCACACACCAAGCGGACATCTTCATTGTTGCCTAGGACGTCTGCCGATGTGAAAATAAATCTCCGTTAACTTTTAGTTTGTCGTGCAAAAATTACTAATTCGCTTGCATGTGGTATAAATTATAAATTTGCTTGCTTGGTTATAAATTACTAATTCGCTTGCTTTGGGTAGAAATTAGCGACTTTGAAAAAGTAACATTAACAATAAACTATACTTAAAGTTATTACATTTTGAAATACAATAGGCCCCTAATTACTTATTATACATTGATAATTACTAACTTTTATTGTCCCACTTTTCCCATATGTAAACATAAAACTCGTGGTCGTTTTGTGGTAGTTGTTTATTTAGTTCAAGTGGTTTATTTTGATGTTAGTAGACTGGTGTCCATGGGGTTTATAGCTGGGACACTAATTTAAACATTAAATCCTTGGGAAAAATTCCTAGTCTTGTTGTATAGGCCTATATATATATATATATATATATATATATACTCATCGTCAAATAACGTTTATGAATCAAAAAACCAAGATACAGTTCAAAAAGTCATTTGTACTAATAGAATTTTATTACAGTAGTTTAGTCTGTTACTAGAGATTTATCATATCGAAGATTGAGTGGTGATGGCGTGGTCGATTAAGAAAAGCTCATTGTTGCAAATATTCGAGGTTCGAACCCTTGGACAGATGAAGCTTAACAGCTGGGAACTGCAACTCTTCTAGGAGAAAAAACTCCAAAATCAAACAACTACTGCCTTGTAGTTTGTTCTTGGTTGGACAAAGGCTATGGAAACAAATCTAAAACAAAAAGAAAGCTGAAATAGGAGTCAATGGCCCCCAATGGCGCATAACCAGTTGACACGTATACCTAATTGTGTTGGAGAGAATCCCATCTACCACTAGAATCAAGAAATAAAAAAAAGAAGAAGAAAAACATCGTGATTTCTCTCGAACATTCTAGTTCTTGTTTTTCTTAATAGACGAAAAAAATATATTCCGAGGTCCGGGTCAAGTATGTCCAAATGTTCCCTAAAAACCACGGACTACTTTTTTCACCGAACAACTCCAGACATCGCAGGCGTAGGGATTCGCTACATCTCGGCGGGGACTGAACAAACGCGAGATCTCTTTGTAGAGTTTCACGAAACCCACGAGAAAGCACGAGAACGGTTATACTTTAAGGGTCAGAGGTTATGTGGGTTGTAGTACTGCTGATCCAACACAAACACACCGATCAACGCCTATACTGCGTGTTTGATTCTTCCTATCAACGTTTTTACCCTGGTATTTCTAAAGCACCATCGCAGTTTTTCGTTAGCTATCCTAACCACCAACTTCTTCATGCGTAGTGTAGTGTAGGCCTACGTGTGATCTAATTAAGGGGACATTTGATGCCGATAATTAGTTTAGATGTAATTGCTTTAGTTCAAATAGACCAAAAGTAGTGTAACAGTGTCAAATTAGCTCTTAGATGTTGGGGGTCCTAAAGGCGTATACGTTGAGTGAACGAATAACTAGAGTCGATGGATTATGTCGTAAAAATTGAGTTTTAAGGTAGAATATACTTTGTCAATATTTGTTACTTTGATAAGTAGGCTAATAGATAAAACAAAAAAAGTTCTATTTGAACTGCTTATCGTACTTCGCAGGTGAAGGCTATATATATATATATAGGTTGTATATAGGCGATATATATATATATATATATATATATATATATATATATATATATATATATATATATATATATATATATATATATATATATATATATATATATACGTTTAATTTCTATAAGTACATTGGAGGAAAGCGGGTTCCAATCATTCTACTTTTTAAACAGTAGGAAACAGTAAATACGTCCTTTTATCAGATGAGTATTTAACACAAAAAAAGTACTTTTCAAATAATGCCACCTATCCCATGGACACACGAATGTGAAGGTGAGACTAGGGTGTTTGCTTGTTTCTCAAGGTAAAGTGCAACTAAACAGACACCACTTAGTACGATTGGAATTAACAATTTAATTTCGAATAAAATAGTTCTCTACCAACTTTTAAGTCTTGATCCTTTTGTTGTCTACAGTACATTGAAGAACTGAAATCTTTCAAGGTAGGTTTAAATGTCAAACTTATTTATTCTAGTTTAGGGATATTCCGTCTCATTCTATTTATAGATTTTGCTATTTCCGCTTGAGACACTACGCGTAATGGCGGCTTTAAACCACGTGTTTATTTACAACGACGTCACAGCTAAAAGTACTTTGAGTTCGGTTGTAGCTGAGAAAAACGGAAATGGTTTTGGGAGACCGAAATAAGTAACTGTTCCGCCGCAAAAGATGGCGTCGAGAGTTCAAAGGTTAGAGTGTTAGTTTGATTGTATGTGTCAGCGTTGGTTGGTGCTTTTGGTAAGTGGCGTTTGTTTACAATGAGGGAAAAAAAACAAGCCTTTTAGACAGCAAGTGAGCGATTTATGACGTATAAATACAGTATTGTTTGTGGGTTTTATTATGGTGGGAGGTTAATGCGATGCAAATAAAGGAATGTTAGAAATGTGGGTGGTGTGGTGTAGTGTAGATGTTATGGAGGGGTAGGTTATGGAGCGGTGGGATATGGATAGTGTGAAATGGATAGTGGGAAATGGATAGTGGGATAAGGAGGGATAGTTTATCGGCGGTAGGAAAAGAAGCGATGGGATATGGATAGTGGGATATGGAGGGGTAGGTTATGGAGCGTTGGGATATGGATAGTGGGATATGGATAGTGGGATATGGATAGTGGGATATGGATAGTGGAATATGGAAGGGTAGGGTATGGAGCGGTGGGGTATGGAGGGATGGGATATGGATAGTGGGATAAGGATAGTGGAATATGGAGGGGTAGGGTATGGAGCGGTGGGGTATGAAGCAGTGGGATATGGATAGTGGGATAAGGAGGGATAGTTTATCGGCGGTAGGAAAAGAAGCGATGGGATATGGACTGTGGGATAAGGAGCGGTAGTATAGGAAGCGGTAAGATAGGGGCGGTGGGATATGGAGCGGTGGGATATAAATGGTGGGGTATAAAGCGTTTAGATATAGGGCTTTGGTATATGGAGCGATAGAATATGGAGAGGTAGGATAGGGGGCGTTGGGATATGAAGCAGTGGTATATGAAGCATTGATTATCATGTTAATATCGTAAAGAATGTGAGACAGTTGGAGACTAATGTTACCCAGTACGGGAACTGAGGAGCAACTTGGAAATGATACAGAACTGTAGCACTATTATAGCGTTGGCACCTATATAACAAGGGCACCCATATAACAAGGGGGACCGATGTATCGAGGGCACCCATACAGGTCACAAATATAACGAGGGCACAGATATAACGATGGGCGCCGATATAACGAGGGCACCCATATAACATGGGCACCGATATAACAAGTGCATCGATATAACGATGGGCACCGATATAACGATGGGAACCGATATAACGATGGGAACCGATATAACGATGGGCGCCGATATAACGAGGGCACCCATATAACATGGGCACCGATATAACGACAGCACCCATATAACAATGGCACCGTTATAAAAAGGGCACCCATATAACTAGGGCACAGAGCAAAGTGCAGTGTTACGCAGCGAAATTAGCAGAAAGTGAAGAAAGAGAGTGAAATATACGGAGCATTGGTAATCAACAAAGGGAAATAACTCACCGCAATGGCGTACAAATTCTAATGGTCGATTATTATTTTTACTCGCGGCCTCTGGTAATCAATGCCTGTGATTCAATAGGTGCGGGATGTGGGGTGTGTGTGGGGGGGGGGGGGGGGGGAAAGGGGAGGGGGGGGATAACAACAGCTGCTGCACCGAGTGGCAAAACTCCCCCCCCCTGTAAAACGACAGCCGGAGAAAACATGACGGAAAAAAAAATCGCGGACCAAAATGTCACCGCGTTGTTAGACAATTACGTCGTGTCTGATGATCACAGCTTCACTGTCCAAAGGTTGTGTTCGTCTGTCGTGGTCCAGCTGTCTACAGCCAGCTGTTCCTTCACACGCACCCCCACCCAACCCCCCCCCCCCACTCTCCATTCCCCCCACCAACACCAACACCAACAAAAGCACAACATTATCAGTGTTTCTTTCACACATCTCCTCGGTGGGGCATCCCCCCTTCCTCGAACGAAATATATAAAATATATAATTTATGTAAAATATATATACTTTTGCCAGAGTCTCCCCCCCCCCCCCCCCCCCCCACACACTAACGGACATTTAAGTTCGTCCCCCCCCCCGAAAGTTTTAGGTACTCCCCACCCCAACCCCCTTCCCCCGAGAAGAAAAAAAATCTGAAAGAAACACTGTGTATCATCTAACACGCCCTTGGTTTTAATCTCTATCAAGATTTAGTGCGACGCTAGCAGATAAATAAGATTGCAGCTAGGTGAAGGTCAGGTCTAAAAATAAATAAATTAGTTTAGGTTTTTATTTGGTGCTCGCATTAGTGTATGTTTTGTATATTATGAGGCCAAATTCCAATACTGTAGCATATATCTGTATACACACATAAGCATTGATGTATTACGTTTAACAAAAAACAAAAGCTTATTAAATACCGTTTTATTCCACATAAAATAACTATTTCAGCCTTAAAATTCAATTTAAAAATTGTAAGGGAGTTAAGCGCTGCAACCAAGTTACGTAGCGTCCCTTGAGTCTCAGATTGTTAATTTGATGAGGCCCCCTTGATACCATTATATCACAATTTCCATTTTCTTACAACTTACAGAAAGCAGAGATTGGTTCTTTAGATTTAAAGGGATGATAGGGGAAACCCCTGATACTCTTACGTCATAATGACTAATTACAGTTGATTACAGCTTTAAGAATGATTCAGAGGTCTTTAAAATTTGGAAACAGGAGTTAATGGATTTTTACTATTAGCCTCCTTCTAAGTCAGCCATTAATCTTCTCCCCCCCCCCCCCCCTCCCCGTTCGTGCTCAAAATACACGGGGCAGGTGAAGTAGAGTTTAACTGTTTCACTGTTCTCGGTATACAAGTTAATAGTGCGGTCAGCCGATCTTTTTTTTTTTAACTTGAGTCAGGTACCCATCAGAGCTTGGGGGGGGGGGGGTCAAGGACGTCCTTCTCCAGCTTAGGATCCGTACTCAAGACTTTCGGACTATCAGTCGTAAGCTCTACTTTCCGACCCCGCCGTCCACCAAACGCATCATACATAGGCTATGGGCCTCCTCTATGGGAATATAGGATTTCTGTTGTTTTTTAAGTCGGAGAAAGTAAATATTTGCTTGTTTTTATACTAGCTATAGAGAGCAATGATTTAATAGCGCGATTAAGTGCTTCAAATATCGTTATAAGGAGGGTGGGGGAGGATGGTGTGAGGAGGGGGAAGGGGGAGGGGGGGGGGGGGGTGTGCACGTGCAATAGTTTGACAACACCTGTCACCCGTGGCCCAGGTAATTTTGTCAACAAATCAGATGCACCTGGTGCAACGTAGTTAACATCGTGGGGTAGACAGGCTGACGGCTGTTGATGCTGTCGGCTGTTTATACGTTGGTTTGTTTTTTGTTGTTGGCTCTGTTTATGTTGTTGGCTGTGTTTATACTAATGGGTGTGTTTACGTTAATGGCTATGATGTATAGTGTGTTCTTGGCTGTGCTATTGGGTGTTTTGTTCGATGTGTTGTTGGATGTTCTTGTGCTATGCGTGCTGTTGCTTTGTTGTTTTTTTTTGTTTTTTTTTTGTGCTGTAGGATGTGTTTATACTGCTGGCTGTGCTGTTGACATTTGGCGTTGTGTTTATTGTGTTTGTGCTATTGAATGTGCTGTATGATGTACTGTTGGTTAAGATGAATGTGACCTACTTAGGTCTAGTCATGTTTTATTTTTGGTTTGACATTGTATAATACCTTATATGGATTGATGGTGCAACCACCGGGTTTTTTCCACTGTCTTATTAAGGGTGTCTAAGACTAAGAAATTTTCCATCAAGATCTGATTGATTGATTCAGATCAGATAACCACCCCATAGCTCAGTGGCTAGGATCTCGGCGCGCCACGGCGGCGGCCGAGGTTCGAATACTCGGTGAGAAGCTGAGTATAGTCTATGGTGTCTAGTGGTTTAGTGGCTTAGATTCCTCGGTTCGGAGCCGAGTAGGGTGTCACTGTTACGCAGTGACCTGGATCGCTAGATCCCGGTACCCTCAGGGTGGCCCGTGTGGCCTGGATCGCTAGATCCCTGGATCACGCTCGCCCAAGGTGGCGTAGATCCCATTATTCTCTCACAGATGGCAGTAGACCTTGATCAGGCAGTCCACCTTGATCAAGCGGTCCATTATGACCAGGCCGTCCATTTTGTCCGGCAATAGATTCTGACCATTTGAACGTGAGAGAACTTAAGTCCTGAGTGTGCAATGCTTTCTTAAGTTGTTTTAGTCTTCTAGTATAATATTACTTGTCGCCAAGTGATTCTTGAAGCTATAGCAGTGTTGTGTGACCTGTGGCTATTTTTATACAGTGTTAAAATCTGTGATAGTATTTTTTCTTACGCTTTGTAAGTTGGGTTTTGTTATTTTCTAAATTAAATATTTTATCTCGTTTAACCTAGTGTTCTGCCACAACTGTGTTCGCTTATTAAAGGTTGTATGCAGATTGAATGAGTTGTTAACTTCAATAGTATCACTAGTTTTCCCTAGACATCGAAATCGAGCCCTAGTGTGTTGTTGAGTTAGCGTTCATTCATTTAGGCTTTAAGTCATTTGCATATAACCCCAAAAAAAGAATCCGGGGGCGTTCACCATCTATCTGGCTGGTAGATAGGTAAACGTTACATGAGTGTTCAGAATTTCAACATGGCGTGTATTCAAACGAGGTCGCCGTGGACAGATCGGTTATGCTCATGGCTGCTGAACCATGTTGAGGCTCGATAGCTGGGTACAGCCAATCTTCTAGGAGAGACAACGTCCAAAAGCAAACAACTGCTGCCTTGTAGTTTGTTCTTGGTTGGACAAAGGCTATGGAAGCAAATCCTAAAAGAAAAGCAGGCTGAAATCGGAGTCAGTGGCCTAAATGGCGCGTAGCCAGTTGACACGTATACTTAATTGTGTTGGAGGGGATCTCTTTTAACACTAAAATTAAGAACGAAGAAGAAGAACACGGTCTTTATGCGAACCGTCAACACTTAAATACAATAATAATAAATATATCAATAAAAGATATCACATGTAATAAGTGCGTCCTTTTGTTTTTCTTATTTACACTAGCATTCTCATTATTAAACACAATTAATAAATGAAAGATAAAACAAAATATCCATTATATTTATATCCGTAATAATTAGCCTTTTCGTTAGGTTGTGAGAATCTGTTCAAGTGCGCACCAATTTTACGCACCTGGTGAACGGGAATTCCACAAAACGCGTCTTGTTTTATTTATGTTGTTTATGAACGCACTGTAGGTTCGGACAACGCGCTCAGAGACGCAGAAATTTTTTGAGTGTATAATAATAGCAATCGGAAAGTCCCTGTGGTTTAGAGATTACAACGTTAGCGTTGACGTATAACCGAGTTAGGGGGTTGGGGTGTGTGGGCGGGGACGTGGTTAGCACTTTGTTCTAGAGTTGTTTGGGTGTGTTTGCTATTGGCTATGCTGTTGTTCTCGACTATCTAAAGTGCAGTATGTGAGGAAGGGGGGAAGTTGTTTTCCATATTGGCCTGTGCTGGTTGTGGGATTTTGTGGTCTAGTTATAGCGCTCTTAAGTACTAAGCTAACTGTCTCGGGTTCAAATTCCCAGGGATTAAGCCATGTTTCTCAGTTCTGATAGGTGTCTAATTTCGAATTGGGGGCTAGATATAATTATAAACCTACGATTCTTTCGGATGAAAATTAAAAAGATGAGCTTTTTCTTTTATCCTACAGTCTTGATCATCTTTTCCCTTTCCCCTCCGCACTCCGTAGTGTCTATCCCAATATTACAACCATCCATTATGTCATGGATATTTTTTCTCTTGCCTGCTAAAATTCTACTTCGCCTGTCATAATTGATCATCAGAACAAAAAAAAAAGCTGCTTTGTTAATGAATTCAAATATATTTTTTTAGTCTTAGCTGCGCATAACGTGACCGTGTCCAAAACGGGTAAAAGGCTTGTTTGATTAGCATAATTTAGTCCATTTACTCGAATGTCGGTTACACCAGCAGTTAACTCCTCGGCCGAGTGGGATTTGATGGCGCCTCTTTGACATGGAACGAGAGAAAAAAAGGTTTGCACTCTGTCGAGTTCAGATATTGTAGTCAGTGTTTCTTTCAGACATTTTGCTTCGGAGGGGGGTACCTAAATTTTAAGGGCGTAGGGTGGACTAAAATTTCACGGGGGAGGGAGGCACTGATAAAAGTATATATTTTCTATTTTTATTCTGTCATTATACATTTTCTGTATATATTCTATTTCGCTAAAGGGGTGGGGGAAGGGACAGAGCGGTAGACGTGCTTTAGACTTTAGGCGATGGGCAGATATGCCCGAAAGAAACTTTGGGGGTGTAGTAGTTACACTATAACACCAAACACAGTCTAATGCTAAACAGCTTTGAGACATTCCAATGTGACTGACATCGTCATATGTTAACGATTATATGTTATATGTTCTCTTATAACGCCAAAGCTATAACACAAGATCTACACAAAAACTCATCACATAACACATCATGGCAT